GGGAAGGGAGGAAATGAGTCCCCGCAGTCTGGTCTGGCTCAGGGCACCCCGTGCCAGTGAGCCCCAGACAATTTCCCAGAAGGAGCTCAAAACATCAGGCTCCCTGATGGCGGGCAGTACTGAATTGCCTATTAAGTTATTATTCTAGCTCTGCCGGTAATAACTTGGATGAATTTTGCTTTTTGCATTATCTTCCCCATGCAATATAAACCTGTCTCACAGGACAGCATAGGATCTATTAAATCATCATTGGACTAAAGATGCTTATTTTGTAGGCAGCTTTTCCAAATTCAGGTTATTTCAACATGAAAGAATGATGGCCGGCATAAACTTATCAATAATAGGCGACCTATTACTGATTCATGAAATTTGTGAAATCAAAACACCATGTAGATCCAGAGATTGATTGATTGTGCTTTGGCATTTGCTTTCTCACATTTCAAATGCCAACATATGTCGACATTATGAAATAATTTATAGTAAATCTGTTGATGCCACTAACTGGCAACTACAGAAGAAAAATATATTTAAATGTTTATTTGCAGCTTAAGGTAAAACATCTATAAATGCATATAAAGTTTATATTCAGGTCTTTCTGCACTTTAGCACACTTTAAAATATTAGAGCACATTGAATTGTATTCATAAAATGTTATATTATAGATATATTTGTTTTCCAGGAGCAATAGTTTTGCCCAAGACAGAATGTCAGCACATATAGAATCAGTTTGCTTGTGTTAGAAATGACCTAGAGGTCTTAATCCAGGGAGTCTCATTCAACAGGCTTGTGGGTTCATAAGCTCCTGAAGTGTATTGGTTTGTATATTAGCTTCCTATTGCCACTGTAACAAATTACGACAAATTTAGTGGTTTAAAACACTGCAAATGTATTACTTTATAGTTCTGTAACTAAAAGAACAGTATGTAGTTACTACTCTTCTGGCACAGGTCAGACACAGATCTCAGTGGGCTAAAAGCAAGGTGTCAGCAGAGCTGTGTTCCTTCTGGAGGCTCTTGGAGAGAGTCCATTTCCTGGATTTTTTCAGTTTCTAGGGACTGCCCACATTCCTTAGCTCATGACCCCCTTATCTTCAAAGCTAGCCATGGCTGATCGAGTCTTCCTCAGGCTGCATAACTCTGACACTTTTTGACACTCCTTTTCTTTTGTCACCTTGCCTTCCCTCTGACTCGGATTCCTCCTGCAACCCTTTTATAAGCACCCTCGTGATTACATTGGACCCACATAGATAATCAAGGATTATATCTCCACGTCTCAAAATCCTTACCGTGATCCATCTGCAAAGTCTCTTTTGCCATATTGAGTCACATTCACAGGTTCCAGGGATACGGACATCCTCAGGGAGCCATTATTTAGCCTACGACAGTATTGAGAACTCTGAGGTATGTGAGCTGGTGTCTGTGTGTATGCGCTGGATATGTCCTCAAAAAAGCTTCCCCAGAATGGCTCTTCAAAGGGGTCTGTGATTCAAAATGGTTTAATCAACCACCTTTCCAATTGAATCACCCTCTCCTTTCTCGTAGAGGGGAAAATTGAAGTCCCAGAGAGATTGACTTGTGCAAGACAACATAAATAATAGGAGATGGTGTTTTCCTGATCCCTGTTTTGACACTTCATAACTATGGCCTACCCAAAATAAATGGACAGATTACAGTAGTGCCATGCCTATGCCATGCATGAGAAAGAGAAACCTGAGACTCCAGAGCAGGTGTGTGGTTAGTCTGCAGCGAATAGAATCATTGCCACTGGCTGTTGGGGAGATCGGGTCCAATGTGATGTCCCAGTGAGAGTGGACAGGTGACTTTGCTAAGAAGCATAGTGCCTTGAAAGTGGGCCCTGATGTATGCAGGTATGATTTAGGTGGAAAGAGAGCGGCTTATGTGATACGGCAACACACAGAGCCCAGGATGTTTCAGTTATTCATTGACAGAAGTATTAGGAATATCCTCCTAACACCTACAAGGCCTTGGAAGATTGATAACATACCTCATTGCTGTATTCCAGCACAGTGCTGCAGAGTGCAGGATCCAGGGCTGGATTCTGGCTTCAACTCTTACGTGACCCTTGACACATTGCTTAATTTCTCTGTATCTCAATTACTTCTCTGTATCTTAATTACTCAATGAATTAATAAAGAATTAATGTTATTTAATGTCATTTCAGCAACTTACTGTCAATAGGTGACTATTTGTCACTGTGTCGAAAGGTGTAACTAGGATAATTTGTTGAAAGTAACTGGCATACAGTGAGCACTACATATTATTTTTACTGCTACTGCCATCACCACAAATGGCGCAGATACCTGTTTTGACCACTAGGTGGCAGAAAAGGAACCCATACTTGAAATTCATGCTTTTTGTTTTGTTCCTGAAATTCCGGTATACTGAAATTACAGAAGCTTAATCATACTTGGTTGTTAGTGCAGAAAAATAATTCAGGTCAGGAATAATACAGTTTGCCTCTCTGTATTCATTGCTCTTCGGTCCAGACATCACATTTATGGATTTACGCCCCCCAGCTGAAGAAGCCAGTTGTGTAGCTGTCTATGCTCCTCAGCCTGCCAGTATCTGTTCTTTATTGACTGGTACTAATTTTCCATAGACTCTATTTAGAAGTTAAAGTTGTATTTCCACACCGTATGTTTTCGAGATAGCAAAGACCTACCTAGTCTTGCATTCAGAAGGCCTTTGGTTGGCCATGATACTTCAAAGTTTTATAGGATTAATGTGATTTCCCTTTGTGCTACAAACCAAATGCAAGAAAACAACTAGTAAAATCTCACTGTTGTTTATTACAATCATGCATTAGAATTTGTACAGAAAATGAATGGAAGACTGAGAACAGAGAAAAGAGACACAGAGAAGGACAGAATATAAATTAGGTTCTACAATTCAGCTTTGGAAAACAAAGGAAGTTGAGTAAAACACATCTACACATTGGTTTGTATTTGTCTCCTGGGAAGGAGGCAACTTAGGTCATGGTGGCACTGTGGAGGAGCTAATGAAATTAAGAAAGGAGCAGGTTTATATATGTCAAGCTCCAGGTTTGATGTAGTAGCCAAAGGCATTTGGTAGCAAAATATAAAGTAGTATTAGCATATAATTACTTTAATTATATGTTTTATAATTACATAAATCCATTAAGCATGAAGGGGAAGGAGTACCATGTTCATAATGAAAAAGTTTCATTTAACTAGCTGTGGAATAAAAAATGCTATAGACCATAGCCCCCCCCCCAAAAATACTAAAAATTCAATTTATTTGATCTGAGATAATGTACTGTATGATGAAATCCCAGGGGTATGTACTACCTTTTAAGTGTTCACACAGATGCTGTAAATCACTCTGAAGCCATGTAGAAGAGCCAACGAATACTTAGAATTCTTTGCCAGAAAGTTATAGGAGAAGATCATGATTAACTGGCTCAAAATATAAAATTTTTATATCATGCACTAAAAGAGTTTGATGTAGAAAGGGCTTCAGAAGCTAGTGGATATAGTTTCCTGGTATTAGGGTATAAACAACTATTAATCTTCTTTCTGATGATGTAATGCTATAACTTCAAATATTCTTTGATTTTGTTGTTAACCGAAAATCTTATTGAAGAATCTTTACTGTGGTATAGTTCCTGACAACTAATAAATTAATTCTGAGCGTGGTTGAAAGTGTCCATTTAACTAGTATGTTCCAATACAGAGGGATATAAAAAATTATCAGGTATATAGAAACAGAATTTTAGAACTGGAGCATTAGAACTGGAGCAGACCTTAGGGAACAAAATGGAAGTGACATTCCGGATTTACACAGCTCATTTGTATCAGAGTGAAACTAGAACCCTAGTTGCCTTCCACAACATACTTCTATTTGTATTTTTAACATCCTTCATGTAATGTCATGGCTTTCCTTGATGACTTGAAAAAGGTCAGTACATTAACATTCTTTTAAAAGTGGAATGCCAGTAAATGTCTTCAGAGAAAGCTCAGATTCAGAGTTGGGGATATTTTCCTTCCAAGAGAAGTAACCTGGGTCTACTACCATTTCAGAAAGCTGTGTGCATGTTGACCTGTATATACATAAACATAAACATAAAAATCATACTTGGTGTAAAAGAGACCTTAAGCACTTATTTAGTTCAGTTATTTTCTTCCAAGAGGTAAAACATTATCATCCCTTTTTATTGAATAGATAAAAAAAATCCAGGCCCCAGGGAGATGGACTGATTTTTCCTAGGTCAGATGACAGATGAGTAATGGTGAGGGCAGGACAATTCTCCCAGCAAAGAACTACAATATGCAGTCTCTTGTTGGAATACAAAACAAAACCTGAAAACATTTCAATTTCTTTAAAAATCATTTTCTGCTGCTTCTTCTTAAATTCAAGGACCCAGAACTTTATACAAAATAGAACCTTCCATAATTGTGTAAAAGTAGATTACCAAGTAATTGATTGCATTTTAGATAGTATAGTCAAGTTCCTTGGTCTCCTTGAAAGTGAATCTTGAAAACTGGATTGACTATTGGCAGTTGGTCCACTGTCCCGTAAGTATTGTTTTGACTAAAGAAATAAATAGAAGCCCTCAGATAGCTTGTTTTTGCTAATGAGCAAGTTGCTTCAGTGAATGTAGCAAAAATCAGGCACGAGTCACTATATATCACAGAAATAATCGAGATAAATTAGGAAATTGTCCAGATACCGTAGGCTGCATTTAGTAAAGCCAGGCAGAGCAACGTCAGGCAGAAATTATTCTCTTTTGGAGTTACAGATAATGGATATACAAGTACAGATTGCAGTTTTGGTTTCACAAATGGATTTTGAGGGCAAAGGTGCAATTTGGTAATGAAAAGGTACAAATGGTATCTCTGTAGTACAGCACAGTGGAGAAGCTTTCTAGAAGAAACTTTATATGTAGTGGCCATAAAAATGCTCCTAGTACGGAGGTGCTACAAATAACATGATACTAATAATGATACAATAATATATCATTGTCCCCAGGTTGTAGTAGGATAACTCAAGACCTTCCTGCATGGGCTTCTCCCTCACATGTTACCGGATTAGAAAGGGGTTTCTGTTCTGCTTCCCAAAAGGTCAGATATTTAGGTCTGAAGAAAGAGGCGGAGGCTACGAAAAGTTCTGGATATTATATAAAGGTAGAAACTGATAAAACCAGAAAATAGAGGCAGGAAATACAGTGATCGAAGACATGGAATGCAAAAGAAAAAGAGAGAAAGTAACATTTATTGGCATCTATTTTGATGAAAGACACTGTGCTGAACACTTTGTATTCTCATGTTTAATTCTCATAATAACTCTAGGAGGTAGCTACAATGTGCAGATGACAAAATAGCACGCAGAAATATTAATTTCCACACAGCTACTAAGTAACACAACACAGATGCAAATTTCCACGTGACTTCACATTCCACTCTAGGCATTACCAGACCATTGGCAAAATTTCAAAATGAGAGATTGGCACAATCATCTAATAAATTGATTTTAGAAATAATATTTGAGATGGACTTACATAAACAAATATCAGAAGAGAAAGAAAAAGATGAAGAGATTACTTTGAAACACCCTGATCATAAAAGCCAAGTATCTGCTAAGCAATCTGACTTGAGAAAGGTGCTGTAATCAAGGTTTCAATTCAATATCTCTTGATCTGTCTTCCTCATTATCCTCATCCACCCTATTTCCAAGGGAGCTATAGTGACCTCGCAAGTCATCACCCATGCATAAAAGAGTGGGTACTGAAATATCCTTCCAGTCCTGACAAGAAGGAATACGGATGTGTTTGACATCTTCACTCCCGGGAATGAAGCCAAATAGCTGCTTTATGCGGTGCATGATGAGGAGCCGAGAGTGCTGCTCGGCTGCTTGTTCAAAGAGTTCTCTCTCATTCTGGAGGTGGCTGGTCCAGTAGCAATGTTGCAGAGAGGTGAGGGGAGAACAGCACCTTGCCACACAGCAGGAGACTAAGACAGCAATGGTTGCCAAGGTGATCAAAATCCAACCCAGCATCTTCACATCATTATTAAAAAGAAAAACAGGAAGTATCAATACATCAAATATTCAAGCAACAGCCATGGGAGGAGGGATTCCTACAAACCTAAGAACTAAAATATGGGCATAAAATTTGCTTTTCCCATCTTTAATATATCAACAACGTTTTAATGATATGATTTGGAAATAGATCTGATGGAGGGCATAGGCCCAGCCATTTCAATTTGGTTTTTGAGTTACAAAGAAATTTGACCAGTTAAGTTGGAATGGATTCTAAAGACAGTCCTTGAAGTGACAGATGCTATAACCTACCAATTAACCTTACATATGATACATACCTTTCTTTGCTTTTAGTTCAACCTTACTTCTCAACTCTCAGGTACAGGCCTATGCATTCTTTGAGTGTCTAATAAATGTTTGATAATGATGGTGATGAAAATGATATGATACATAATAATAGTAACCTTCTAAGGTGTCTTCAATGATGTACCAACAGGTGTTCATTGATATTTCTTCCTGAGTTGCTCTTTCCTCTTTTGCAGCTAAAAAGCAAGTCAGTGAACAGACTCATGTATCTAAATGTATTCTAAATAGCATAGTTGGCTGGGTATGGTGGCTCATACTTGTAATCTCAGCACTTTGGGAGTTCAGGCAGGTGGATCACTTGAGGCCAGGAGTTCGAGACCAGCCTGGCCAACATGGTAAAATCCTATCTCTACTAAAAATACAAAAATTAGTTGGGCATGGTGGCATATGCCTGTAATTCCAGGCACTCAGGAGGCTGAGGCACGAGAACTGCTTGAACCCAGAAGGCAGAGGTTGCACTGAACCTAGATCATGCCATAAAAATGCTCTGGTGACAGAGAGAGACTCCATCTCAAAAAAAAAAAAAAAAAAAGACAAATAAAATAAATAGCATAGTCACTGTGCCATGTAGTACATTATTGTTTTCCTTTTCATTTCTCTTGTCCTCAAATAATCATTTGCTGACCAGTTTCATTATGTGTCTTTGAAATATGCTTTAAAAGGAAAATGAACTAGTTTTTGAGACTATTTAGAGTTGGCTTTTAAAGATTGACTCAAATGGCTGTTTTTTATTCTTAGAATCTTTTTTTCTTTTCATTTTACTGTTTTCAATATTTTGCACTTCTTATGTTAAGTGAGAGAGGTAAGTTCCACATATTTGGGGATGGTAGCAGTATGCAGTCACAGTCTGGGTATTGAAGGCCTCTTCTGCATCTTGTGATTTATCAACAGGCCTGGAGTTTCCAGTGTGTGCACAGTGGGATAGTTGTACTCTATGGAGGTTAAAACCTACAAAGTGATATTTATTACCATTTAACTAAACAGAGGCCAGCATGGCAGAGGAAAAGCCATCCCAGATGCCCATTAATCTATAAACAATCATTTACTGAGCTCCAGGTTGACCTTCCCCTGTGTGTAATACATATGCTTGCTTATGGGGAACTCAGATGTGAATAATTAAAGATGCATTCATTTTCTCTATGATTTTTAAGCCTGAAAAGGGAGACAAATGAGCAAGCCAAGAAATATGACATAATGGGATAGTTTTTGATATGAGTAATCAGAGCACCCAAGGAAGCACAATGGAATGAACTCACTTAAGGGAAAGGAGTATCAGGGAATACTTCCCAGAGGAGATAATGCAAAAGCCTAAATTATTAAAAAGAGGTTCACCAGATGCAAGAAGGTAAAGCGAGTTCTAAGAAGGTAAAGAAAAATAGCATGAATAGTTGGCAGAACCTCAAGACATTTGGACTCACATGCTCGTAGGAGTCATGTAAAAGTGGTCAAGGGCAAGATGTTGAAGCCTTGTATGTTATGCCAAGAAATTGGGTTTGTTCTTAGGCTAGTAGAAAATCACTGAAGGGCTTCATATGCAGTAGGGAAGGGATCTCATCATTCAATTTGCACTTAGAAAGATATTTTTGGCATATGTCTAGGAGGTAGATTGAAAGGGGGTGAAGTTAACGTCAGGAAGATATTTTAGAATGGGGCATGGGCAAAGAAGATATTTGAATTTAAGGCGATTTTGTGGTCAACTCACAAAAATCTAACTGAAAAATAACGTATATTAATGAAATGTGACTGAAGGTTGAGACAGTCACAGAAGACGGCCTAGTGAAAAGGAAATAGCATGATCTTGGGATATCTTGATGCAGTTTATTAGCCCTGAATTATACAAGTTACATAAACTTTTTGAGCTTTGATTTACTTATCTGTAAAATGGGGTAGTAATAGCCATCTCTCAATATTATCAGAACTAGAATTAAGATGTGAAATATTTATACAGTATATGAAAAGTACATCAATAAATGTAAGTTTTGTTGTCACAAAACCAAACAACCTACTGGCAATGGTACTCAGAACTGTAAAAGTATCTTTTCCAGAAATGTGTGTATGCATTTAAAAACACATTTTATTTTGACTTTAAGAAAATCTTACCAATGCATATTACAATTTAGCTTTCCTTAAGCAAGACAATTATTTTAAGTTATACTTTATTCATTTTTTGAATTTTCACATATTTTTACATAGCTCCTCTGAGCATTAGGGCTAGTATTTTAAAAGTTAAGACACAGCATATCTAATGGTATTTCTAACTTTTTAAAAACTGGGCCATATTACAATAACTTGATATTCTGTGTCTTGATGGTAGCTTTTCCCAACTAAATAACTTTAGCATTTCTAAAATGTAGTAACTCTAAGATTACCAGTGAAAAAATATGCATGCCTTTGCAATAAGTAGTTTTAAAAAGCTATGCTTTTACTATATGACAGTGGTTTCAAAATATGTTTTTTCCTCAAATCCCTTGGAGAAATTGATGACAGCCAATGTCACTCTTTCTACTGATAAAATGCACAATAGCACTTTAAAAATTTAACCTTTAAATGTAGTAGGGGTCAGGCTTTCTTCCCACCCCACCCCACTTTCTGACATAAATCTGTCCATAGACAACAAATTTAGAATCACAACTGGAATTATTTTTCATTATAATTAAGCTTCCTATAATTTTAGATGAGATAGTAATATATAAGAATGCATATTTAAGAATATATATACAGAAGGTGGGATTTACTAATATAGCAATAATATTCATTATAATATCTAAAATCTATTGTTCTTAATATAGATTCTAGAAATCATATCAAACACTTCCGATATATTGGTAAATGTATTCCTCACAACAACCCCATGTGGTAGGTGCCATTAATATCACCATTTTACTCAAGGTTTTGCAGGTTAATAAGTGGCAAAACAAGACTAAAACTCAGTTCTGCTGACTCCAAAGCCCAACATCCTAACTATGTATATTCGCTCAGTAGAACTCACTTTGATGAACAGTATCTAGTATTGTATTCTATAATCAGAGAATATGAGAAGCAGTAGGAATCTGCAATGTTTCCAGTGACTGTAGTTCTATGGGGTAACACAGCAGGGGGAAAAAATCTACTTACCTGTGACTGGTATCTGTGCAGAAGAGCTATTTCATCTCTTACTAGGATCACGTCAGAAGGAGCTGATTTGCAACATGGAAACCCAGCTAGGATCTCTTCTCGTTTGCTGGCACTGACATTTTCAAATATTGGGTAATGGTCCACAGATGCAAATTCACTTGCTGCACATTCATAGTACGTGCCTGTCAGCAGGGTCACCGCCAGCCAGGTTAAAGGAGCAACAACTGCCCTCCCAGTGATGCTGAAGAACCTAAGGCAAGCCAGCTTGCACTCTAGGGGGCTGATTCTCCTGTATGGAGGGACACAGCTGCAGCAGTATTCACCAGTAATTGTCCACATTTGGCTTCTCAGAGCAAAGCCAGCAATCAGAAGGATCAAGGCAGGAATGACAAGAAAAGCAGAACCATAATAGAAATTTTTTCCAACCTGACAAGGACAGCTGAATGTGGAAGAGGAGAAGAGCTGTTGCCCACCAACAGTCAAGGCTGCAATTAAAGAATTGATAAATATACCATTTCTCTGCAGAGAAGACACAATACTGTTGAGCGTTGAGCACATCGTGGGAAGCTCTTACACAAATCAGCTTGTGGCCCTTTCTGATCATTAGACTCCACCAGCTATAACCATTTTATGGGCTCTTACTGGTTTAACTGGTTGTGTCAAGTGATCCAACATCCTTACATGTTTAAAGGATTCTAGCATCTTTCCTTGTGTACTTTGAAAACGCTGAGCTCAGATTGATTACAGCTGAAAGAAATTGAGGGTGAGCTCCTTTAGGTATGAGTGAAGGGAGGAATTTCTTTTTTTTACTATAATTAAAAAGGAGGCTTGCTTAGAAAGCAGGCTGCCTCCATCTTTCTGTGTGCTGCTTTGTATGACACAAAATGCTGAGCACCAGCAAATAGAGCGTTGAAAGCAAAACGAGACATTCTTAACCTTGTACTGGACCAGCATCTTGTCACCATACAATTATAATAAAATTATTAATGGAAATTATTAAACACTAGAGCAATCCAAAATTTAGGGCTGGCTGGAATGTTCCTAAGGGTTCTGCTAGAAGAGCTCAAAAGATTTCCCAAAGGAAAGAACAAGGCTAGATGCCCCAAATCCAAATCACAACAAAATATTCTAACTGCATAAAAATTTTAAATCTGCTTGCATTCACAGAATATTGCTATGTGCTGCTTAAAAATTTAAGTTGCAGATTTGTTTATAGGTATCTTTTTGTTATATGAAAATGTGTTTTTTTTTTTTTTTTTTTTTTTGAGATAGAGTCTTGCTCTGCTGCCCAGGCTGGAGTGCAGTGGCCCGATTTCGGCTCACTGCAAGCTCTGCCTCCCAGGGTTCACACCATTCTCCTGCCTCAGCCTCCTGAGTAGCTGGGATTACAGGCGCCTGCCACCTCGCCTGGCTAATTTTTTTGTATTTTTAGTAGAGATGGGGTTTCACCGTGTTAGCCAGGATGGTCTCGATCTCCTGACCTCATGATCTGCCCACCTTGGACTCCCAAAGTGCTGGGATTACAGGTGTGAGACACC